AAGACTTTTACTCATGTCACGGGGTTCAATTGCAAATCCTTCCCCACCTGGCTCTGGGTTTTCCTCTTAATCACTAAGTGATTCATGAGGAGGGTGGGGCTCCCCTAGGCTCCTCCGCGTCTAGCTCTTCTAGGCACTGGGCTGCTGGTAAGCCAGTACACTGCTGCATGTGTGGTATCTCCTTTTGCACATATCCTTTAGTGGTATGAAGTCTGGAGTTAGAAACCCTTCCAATATTCTATGAGGGCATGAAAGGGCAATAAATGTAGAATCAGAAAACTAGTATGATGCTGGGCATCGTGGCACATGCCTGTAATTCCAGTACACAGGAGGCTGAGACTGGAGGATTGCCACAGGTTTGAGGCCAGCCTGAGATACATAGCAATACTATGTCTCAAAAAAATGGAAAAAAAAGCAAACTAGCATGGCAACTCTGGCTTATATCTTACTATCTTTGCACACTTTTGAGCAAGCCACTCTTCAGGTTTGCTTCTTTGTCTATAAAATGGGGACATCTGCCTCACAGGGTTGCTGAAGTAATGTTTTTATAAATAAATGTTTTTATAATGTACTTTTATAAAGTATAGTATCACACAATACAAAGTAAACTTACAGTTATGTCAGTAATTTTTCATTTCTTTAGCAATGCTGCTGTAAAACTTTGAGTGCTAGCATCTTCAGTATGCCTATGCAGTGAAAATTCCATGTTTTTATTGCTTCCAACCTATATTATAATAGCTTCTCAACATCTCAACACTGCTCACAAAACTTCTTTAACAGTTGCTGCTAAATTTAAAGTGCCTTATGCTTTTGCCTCAATTTTCCTTTTATCTCATATCAATTTTTAATCTTTAACCTAACAAAAGCTAGTTTCCTTTTAGGAAATCTATGTTCATTGCTGGCATAAAAGAATAACTGTATTATATTGCCTTCTATAAGCTACCTAACATCATCTTCAGTTTGATTTCTATGTGGTCTGATCAGTCATGAAAATTAGGGTAATTTAGACAGTATTTTCTTAAGTTATTTTACTACTAAGAACTAAGAGAGTGACTGGATGAATTACTATAATTCTATACCTTCTAATAAATAACCCAGAATATCCAGCATCCTGACAGAGAATAATATATCAGTTTCAGTATTAGTACAGCTGAGCAGAGAACTGGTACAAATGTTTTCGTAGTCACTGAATTCAAATTTCTAAATAATGTTTGAACAATTTTATTTCCTGAATATGGTAACAATAAGCTCAGCCAGGTCTCCAAAAAGCCAGAAAAAGTCACAATGTCCTAGTGTTAAATTCATTTCCCAGCTGGGTGTGGTCTCAGATACCTGGAATCCCAAGCATTCTGGGAAACTGAGGCAAGAGGCTCACAAGTTTGAGCCCAGCCTAGATAAATTTTTTTTCCTCATTGAGTTTATTGGTACTTTTTAAGTATACAGTACAGTTACACTTATCACTCAGATCTTGTACCTTTAATGACAGATATTACTTCTCATTTTACCCCATACCCCTGCCTTCCCTTCACGCCTCCCACCCTTCCCTATGTACAGTGACTTTGTTTCCATTTTTTCATTTTCTCATATTTTTTCTTTTCCCTTAGGCAAAAGGAAATAAGGGAAAAGATAAATTATTGATTTAGTGAGACCCTGTCTCAAAAAATAAATAAGGAATAGGGATGTAGCTCAGTGCAAAGGCCCCTAGGTTCAAGCCCCTAAAACCCATCCAACCCAAAAAGTCATTTCCTGGGCTGGGGATTTAGCTCGGTGGTTCTGGCTCCTGCTTCACAAGCATAAGGACCTGAGTTCGATCCCCTGTATCAAAAAAAAAAAAAAAAATCATTTCATTCCCAGGCAGGTGGAGAAACCTGTTACCTAAAGTCACTTTTCATTTCTTCATACATAAGGATAAAGTGCTTAGGGCAATAAATGGCCAATCTAGGGCCGGGGGTTTAACTCAGTGGTACTATCACCTGCCTCACAAGCACAAGATCCCAAGTTTGATCTCTAGCATCCCCCCAAAAAAATAAGCCAATCTAGATAATACCAATGAAGAACTACCACATTCTCTCCCAAAGGAAACTTTTTGTTGCTGTTGTTCAGGCTAACCTTGAACTCAAAATGCAGAACAGACTGGCCTTGAACTCATGGAGATTCTCCTACCTCAAGCCTCTCAAAAGCTAGGATTACAGATGTGCAGTACTACTTCCAGCATCCCAAAAGAAACTTTTGCAAGATAAAAGAGAAAAAGTAACAGCCCCCAGTTTCAAAACCATGTACATATGAAATAAGCAATACATTTTCACAGAAAGACATTGTTGCCTTTAGCATCCTGGGAATACAAAGGCAGAGACACTGTTTCAGCATGGATCAGATGCAGCCAAAAGTCAGAAATCATATGAAATGACTTCCTATCCTTTCATAAGCAGAAGGCATTTATTTTTTTCATTCACAAAGCTTTAGACAAGTAAAATGTAAAAGTAAACAAGACAAGACCCTCAAGTAGGTCATAATCTAGGCAAGGAAACCACAAACATACCAAAATTTAACAGTACAGTGTAATCATATAAAAGATGATCACAACTGGACATGGTGGCATACACCTGTAATCCCAGCATCCAGAAGGCTGAGGCAGGAGGACTTCTAGGAGTTTAAGGCCAGTATTGTTGACTATTCAGTGAGTTCAAAGCCAGCCTGGAATACATAGTGAGACTCTGTATTTAAAAAAAGAGACATAAAAAGAGGAGAAAGAAGCTTGTACAAAATGCAATGTCATACAAAGGAGAGGCATTCATGGAAACAGGGAAGACTTTTACTAAGAGAAGGTAGTCCCTGAACTCGTCATTCTAGTCTTAAAGTCAGATACATACTAGAATGAGAAAGAAAACTAGTACAAGGTACTGGCATGCTAGCACCTTCCAGGAATTCGTTATAACTTAGCCTCTAGTGCCAGAGGATTTATGGCAGAAGAGAAACTGTAAGATACAGGAGGGACCAATTCATAAAGGTCCTTGTGAGATATTGAAGCAGAAACATGGCAAGGCTAGAGTGGTATTTTGAGGCCAAAGGAATATTATTTACTCTTAATGGGAATTAAAGACCACAACAAATGGAGCAGGGGAAATGACTAGGGGAAAATGCTAAGAGATTTAGGGGCCAGTTACTTCAAATCACTTTTGGTTTCTACTTAATTGTTTAAAATATTAATGGGAATTATTTTTTTCTCTCACAAGGAAAAAATAAAACCAAACAATTCTATAACAAAACCTGCGAACCTTCTGTTTATCAAAAATATGTCTGTGGGTTTGATCCCCAGCAATGAGAAAGAAAGAAAGAAAGAGAGAGAGAAAGAAAATCAATCTGAACAGAGTGCTAGATTCTATCAAAGTAGCCCCAATTAGAGAAAGACAACAAATTTCTCCAGCATTTGGAGATTTACAGCCTTCCAGGCCAAAACACCAAAGCCAGTCCTCTAATGTCACTGAAAAAAATAAAACAAACAAACAAACAAAAAAAACCAAAAACCTAGAGAAATATCCTGATCAGAGGCAGAGATCATAATACTGCCTGCCACAATCTATCATGGGTTTGTCCACTGTTACCAAATAAGAATATACCTGTCATTTCCTGGCTTCTCCACAGAAATTGCCAGGAAAAAATCCACCAGAACCAAGAATGACCTTGGACTTAATAGCGTGGACTCTTGCTAACTAGTACTAGCTAAAGACTACCTCAACAATTCCTTTACGAGTCCCAGGAGATGCACATTATATAGCCATCTTCCTCATCAGACAAGGTAACAGCCTCCTTCATACACAGAACCTAGCTACATTCCTATTACGAATTTTTTACAACAGTGGCCCCTGCATAATACACAGTACCTTCTACTAACAACCAGCACTGACCAATCACAAAGCACTAGGCCCCCTTCTTCAATCCTCACTTAAATCTACAAAGAAGGCCAGGCATGGTGCTACATGACTGTAATCCCTGCAGCTCGGGAGACTGCAGCAAGAGGATTCCAAGTTCAAACTCAGCCTGAGCAACTTAGCCAGACCCTGTTTCAAAATAAAAAACAAAAGGACTGAAGATGTACCTTAACACAAAGACACTAAATTCAATCCCCAGTATCATTTAAAAAAAAAAAAAAAAGTCCTATTAGTGCCATTTTACAGATGAAAAACAAAACCACAGCTCAGAGAGGTTAAGCACTTACCCAGGCTCAAAATGTGAAGGAGAAACAAAGACGGAATGATTTTAAACTTCAAGGACCATGTTCTTCCCATTATATCAGATAATTCTCAGAATTTTTCAAAAGAACTAAAATCTCTAAGCCTTCTCTTCAAGAATTTCCAAGTTGATCCATTTGACTAAGAAGTAGCCAAAACATTTAAGCACAATGGTATCTCAGTTCATGAAAGTGATTCTTTCCACAATTTTGGTCACAAAGCAAGATGGACAAGAACCAAATCAAATTCAATGGTTGCTGTCAATGTTGACCTTATAGGGAAATTTGATTTGATTATCCAGTTCTGTCTTCAACCAGATTCATGGAAAGAAATTGGTCCATGAATTGAAGCATAGCTCTTTCCTCAATGAAGGCAATTCTCTCCATAATTCTGGTTGCAATCAATTTGTAAGCAGAGTACATATATGTGAACCAAGGTACCACTGTAATCATGTTGTTTTCAAAGAAACATATGAATCAGCTTTTAGTTTCTTTGACCAAGTGAATGCAGCATTCCAAATAAAAAATGAGAGCTATTTCAAAGAATTTACTTACGATCTAAGTGCCTTGATTTTAAAGGTCTTCATTTACTTTGGATCATGATATAGATAGATAGATGATAGATAGATATAAAAGAAAAGTATAAAGAATAATTTCATTTTACTAGATTAGAATGATGGCTAACAGCTAAAGGAAAAAACATTCAGGTTAACAATATATTTTATGCAGTGAAAATTAAGAGGCAAGCAACTTCAAACAGACCCCGGCTTACCTCAGTCTTATTCCTGATGTTCCACAGGAGAGCACGCCAAGCAGTGAGCAGATACTCCCAGCCTACATACAGTGAACCAGATATAAGGTGTAAGTAATGCCTTCATGCTCCCAAAACCACAGTGGAAAGGAGAATATCATGGCTTCCTGAGGAACCTGAACAGATGTACGGTACTTGTAAATCACTGATCATTAAGGCACACACCAAAACAAACTGATTTACCCTGTGGTTTTTCTACAGAAGTACTTAAATTTAACAGGTATACTTAAATAAAATAATGCAAAAACAATCCCATACCCATGTAAACATATAGCTATAGCTAAGTTTTTGTTTCCTTACAGTACTGGGAATTGAACCCAGGGCCTTTGCACTAGGTTTATATCCTTAGCCATTTTTTATTTTAAGACAGGGTCTCCCTAAATCACTAAGTTACCCAGACTGGACTGGGATTTGTAATCCTCCTGCCTCAGCCTCCCAAAGAGCTGGGATTATAGGCATGCACCACTATCCCCTATTTATAACTGTTTTTTTGCATGGAAATTTGAAGTTATCAATTGCCGTTATACAAAGTCAATACAAAATACTCTATTCAAGAGTTTGCTGACTAAAAGCTTGATACACCTTCATAACTTCTTTCAGTCACAGATGTGTAGCCACCTCCAAACAGGAACTACAACAATCAAAATGTCAGAAGAAACTGGGCACGGTGGCACACACTTATAATCCCAACACGAAAGTTGAAGCAGGAGAATCACGAGTTTGAGTCCAGCTTGGACTAAATAGCAAGTTCAAGGCCTGCCTGCACTACAGAGCAAGACTCATTTTTAAAAAAATCAAAAATACTAGCACCAATGTACAGGCGCCTAACATAGTGCCTAGCATAATGTGTAACAGGTATGAGTTTACGAAAGATGACTTAAGATAGAAAAATCTTAAAAAGATAAAGAAAGCTTTTGAAGGGAAATAATTTTTTAAAGCTTAAGAATAAATCCCTAGAATAATTAGAACTATCAGTACAGGTACAAATAGACTTACCTCACATCTCGCATGAAAACTTATACCATATACTAATTAGGCAGTACTTCCTAAATAGACTCTAAGTAAATTCAGAAGGTGAAATGATTCTGAGGCTGTTTGTCTTCATGTAGGTCTCTTTTTCAAATATCTACAGACAACACAGCAAATTTTGCCTGAATAATTGAGTCAGAGTTCTGGCCCACAGCTGCAGGCCAGAGGTGGAGATTGCACACTGCCTTTCAATGATACAGATTGTCACAGGGCAACAGTGTACAGACCAAATTCACTGAAGGCAGTAACACTTCTAGTGAAGTTGTTTTATGACAGTCAGCAGGGTGCTGAAATGACAGTTGTTAAGATTTAGCAAATTCAATGCTAATCATCTCATGGCACAAGAAAAAACAAAGTTTCATATATTTAAAGATACAAAGTGCTTTTAACAACATAGTAAACTATTAGGAGTTTCACATCCCTCTCTAGAGTCACATACACTGAACAATGGCATACAAATCAGTAAAAATAGGCTTTTATATTAGACGCATCATGATATCTACTTGTCTATCATCACAAATAATAGCCACAATATTAAAAAGTATGGGTCACAACTTTAAAACAAAGTAAGAAAGATTCAAAACAGATGAAAGCTTTGGATCCAAATAACCCAAAGAAATCTCTATTTAAAATACTGTCATTTAACAGCCGTCACTCTAAGAATAGGAAGGAAAGATTCACACTGTCCTCTACTGAGGAACAAAATCATCAAGCCCCTCAATTCCCCTTGCAATCTTATTCACCTCAACGTCCAGTCACTAATGTATGTAGTCAGCCACATCTGCTAGCAAAAGACAGAAATTCTAACCGATCTGAGTCACCCACTCCCCTACAGTAAGAGGTCATTCTCTATCAGGAAGACCACTCTGCAAAATTTCCTTGTTCATCTCCCAGGCTACCACCACCATGACCCACATAAAGCTGACTCTCCAGTCTTAGCAGCCTACCAACCCTCCCCTGCAATCCTCAAATCACAATTTCCACCAATCTCACCCTAATCCAAAGCAGCGAACACTATTCACTGATCTCCACTCACTCCTGGGACAAGTTTCCTGCCTTAGAACCACTCTTCGCCTGGGTGCACTTGGGCTGAGGAAGATTTAGCTCTTTGCTCACTCTCTGGTGCCTAGCTGAGCTCCTTCCTTCACTGGTTACCTCGGAGAAGTTAAACTCTCCGTGTTAACCAGCCTGACCCCAGTTTGCCAAACTTCCAGACCTTAGGGAGTGGATAAGGAGGAGACACGTCTCTGTATGCCTTAGAGTCGAAGCACACAGAGGCCCCTAAAATTCCAAACACAATCTTCTCTCATACACCCCGCCATGGTTAGCCTTCTGGGCGCTAGTATCAGGAGTCAAGAGTACACAATCACCAAGTCTCAGTGCCTCTGTAACTCCCTTTCCGGACTACAAATTTCCCCAAATATCAAGCCACCACCGGGGGCCCGAAACGAAGCCAAGACGCTCCTCCAAGCCTCTGGCTACTGGAGTTTCCCAGGTCTAAACCAGTGCCCTCACGGTCCAGGCCGCCAGGAAAGCCTCGCTGCCCCAGGCCGCTGCACGCCAGAGGCCCGGGCTGCGTCCCCACTCTGCCCCCATTGTTGCGGGTCCCAGCGGCCCGAGAGGGAGCAGGAGGCAGGCACCGGCTCTCACCTCCAGTGCCGCGGATCCGGGCCCAGCCAGATCCTGCAGGGTCAAGGGACCTAGCGTTTCTCCGCGCCCGCTTGGACAGAGTCTGCGACGGCGGGGGCGGGGGCAGAAGCTGGGGCGGGAAGTAGCCAGCCAGGCCCGGTCGCCGCGGGCTGGCTCTGGCCGAGCGTCGGTCTTCTCCAGCGGCGGCGCTCGCAGCCTCCGCTCGCGGTCCGCACTAGAAAGCGTCCCCTTCCCGGTCCGCACGCTCGGTCACCCTGACGGGAACACGCGCTACCGACAGGAATGTTCCGCTGTGAACGCACTAAAGGAGGATCTTCCCTGGTACGGGCTGTACTGGGAATCTTCCCTGGATAGAGGCGTTTATCTGCTACCGACGACCTTTTAGGAGTGCATGCTGTACGGAAATCCCACTGGGAATCTGCCTCAGAATAGTTCCGGGGGAGATCCAACGGAAAGGGCGCACGACCTCTAGCAAGTGAGCCAAACAACACTGATCACCTTACTGCCTCAATTCCTCCTTCCTCAGGTGGAGATAACCTCAAACTCTTCCAACAGAAATTGTTCTCGGCCCTCTAGAGCGCTGAAATTGATACAACCCGTGTTATTCTCTTCCTTTTCTTCTTCCCTCTCATCTGCCATGCAGTTTCCTGCTGAAGCTATCTTCAGAACTACCTGGCAAAGAACCAGAGATCATCATTTGAGGGTTCCTTCAGATACAAATCATGAATCCTCACAATGCAGCTCTGCTAGCAGTTCTAAGCTTTTGCCACTAATGACCCTCAGTCCTCTGGGCCCTGATGTTTCCCAACAACCACCACTGATCTCTGGAGCTCTTCAGGACTAGTAACTCCTATTGTTGTAGGGTTGTAGGGTTTTTGTTGGTTTTTCGGGGGAGGGGAGTTGTTTTGTTTTGTTTGCGAATACTCTTTCCCACTGTCCAGGGAGAATCCTGAGTGAATTTACAGGACTTCTGGAACCCATACTACCGGACAAATCACAAACACTAGAACTAGGATTTGAACAGTACCTATACTGCAACAGTACACAAAAGAGAACTTACCTACACCAACCCTTGGAGGCTTAGAGTTGTTTATATAGCCACAGTAGGCCTGTGTTTGGTCTGTATTGGAGCCTGCTGATTGGTCCAAACTGATCTAACAGCAAGTTTTCTGCTCCAAGCTCACTGATTGGTCAATATTCAATTCTACTGCTTAATTTAAATCTGAGCCTGCTGCAGTCCGGGCAGTCATCTTGTAGAGTATGGCCACAGCTATCATGAAAGCAGTTAGGCATAAGAGCAGGTGACTCTTCTTAATGGCCAAAGCATGCCTCAAAACTTATTAACTTCTCTCAGCAGCTTGAGGTCGGATCAGCACTCTGATCCCTCTCTGTCAAAGTCTTGCATTTTCCTGGCTTGGCCTCTGGACAGGAGTTCTGGGAGTGATACATAAAACAGATTTGGCTTTAAGAGTTGAAACGAGTTCAGATAAGAAGTGCAAGTATGACCAAAGGGAGGAGAAAAAGACATAAAAGTTGGTCAGAGAATCAAGAAAGAAGTCCTGTTTTTTTATCCCCTTCCACAAATGAAGATTCAAGGCACAATCATCAGAGACATCTACACTTAACCTTTCTCCTCTAGCACTGAGATTTGAGCAACAAGAGCCAGTGCTGGCTCCCCTGGTGATGGAAAGCCCCCTTCCATTCTCTCCTCACAGGATGCCATTACCCTTCTGTAATATCACTACCTTGTCTTTCTGAGCATCCCTGACTACTTAGCTGTTATCACCTAAAGTTTCCTCCAAATTTACCTGTAGGAAAATAATTTTTTTGGAGGAACCCCCCCAAAAGGATGTACACATATAACTACTTATCAGTGGAGCCACCTTCATACCTTCTTGCTGGATTAGGCAAGTTTCACCAGTGGTGTGTTTATTAATCAGAAATTAGAACTAGACCTTCCAGGCATGGTGGCACACACCTGTTATCCCAGAACATAGGAGGCTGAGGCAGAAGGATTGTTGCAAATTCGAGGCCATCCTGGGATACATAGTGAGTTTAAGACCAGCCTGAACTACATAGTGAGACCCTGTCTCAAAAAAACAAAACAAAACAAAATTATCCAGGTTAGACATGAACTCTTGATCTTGCTCCCGAGTAGCTCAGATTACAGGCATGCACCACAAGGCCCAACCAGGGATTTTTTTTAACTTTCTGACCATATACTTATTACCCCAATTATAATCTCCTAGGAAGCTTGTTTTTTAAAAAAAAATCACGCCAGCATCTAATGAAAGCTCGGCATAATTCCTGCACCATAAAATTCCCCTGAGCAACTTATGTAGTGGGCACTGACATTGTACTAAACATTGTGTTGGATGCTGATAATAAGACTCATTAGGGGACCTGGGAATGGTAGAAATGTACTCAGAATGTGAGAGGCCATGGGTTCAATCCACAGCACCACAATAAAAAGAACACTCTGGGCATGACTGTAAGCATTTTTACGGTATTAATCCATTTAATCCTCATAGCAACATTGTGAGATATGTACCATATCCCACTTCAAAGAAGGAAAAACTGAGTCTGAGCAGGAATAAGGGGAGTGGGGTTTGAATGTATATCATCTGAGGTCCAGAACCCATGCTTGTAATCATGCACTAAAATGAATGAAAAGTAAGCTCAAAGTTTAGCTTCAAGAAGTCTGATCTGCAAACTGTAACTAAGAAAAATCTCTCCCACATAGGTGCTCATTTAGCAGACACTTGTTGTTCCCTAATCGCATTTTTTACATATTATTACCCAATTATATTTCAGATGTTGATCTGCAACACTGAACTAGAGATAAGTATCTGCCCTTGAGCAGCTTAACTTCTAAATAGGGAAGACAGACATTACAATAATTTCAAATTCTAATAAATGCTGAAAAGAATATAAAACAGAGATCTATATGGGTAAAAGGTTGTTGGGAGAGGGAAGACACTGAGTAAAACCATCCTCATAAGGTGACCCTATGAACTGAAATCTGAATGCCAAGAATGATACCACTATGTGAAGGATCAGAGAAAAATCTCTAGATGGAGGGACTAGAGCCCAGGGGCAATGTTGGATGCAGGAAACACCCCTCCATGACCATCCCAGAGCATGAAGAAGTAGCCCCTGGATCTGCATCCAGATTCTGTGGTCTTGGGGGAAATCACCATGAGGGCCAGGGAGAAATGTGAAGAGGCTGCTGACCAATTGTCCCAGGAAAGCAACACAGATACTGCTACTGGTGAATGACCATGCACATTTAACAAGTCAAATGTCAGATGGCATGGAACGCGGAGCTTGGAAACTTCTACCGAATGTGATTCCAGGGATGAGTGTGGCTCTGTGGTAGAGTGCTTGCCTAGCGTGTGTGAGGCCCTGGGTTCCACTGAGAGGGAGAAAGAATTGAATTCCATTCATTTTCATCAGCTTACTTTCTGAGGGTCTTCTTACAGATTAGTAGACTGAGTGATTGGGATTTACCAGGAATAGTACATCCCTACCTTCTCAGTCAAACTCTCAAGTCCAGCTAGGACTCTTGTCTTTCTTACAACTCTTCCTTTTTTCATGTTGTTCTGCTATCCAAAACTTCCTCATAAATCTTCTTCCATCATGCTCTATACACCTGCCTTGTGCCAGAGAGCCCTCTATCTCCATTTTCTTATGGCTTATGATTTGCTCCATCCTTGAAGAAATGACCTCACACAAGGTTATCGTTAACCAGGTAAGTTCTGCAAGGCATGCTCAAAGCTTCAAAGAATCCCCAACCCCCTCCCCTTTCCCATCTCCTCAGTTCTGCCTCAATGATGAGCCCAGTGTAAATTCATATTTGTTACAGTATTCACTGTACCTGTTTAGGGTGTTGAGGATACTGATAAGATGGTCTATTTCCCTGGACCTCACAATCTCATGAGGGAAAAAGATAATAAACAGATAAAGAAAATATCATATAGTATTAAATGTTCTGGAGAAAGTGGTGTGGGGGTGACTTGGCAGCTACTTCATCCATACACACACACACACACACACACACACACACATGATATACATGCATTTAGGGGACAGAGTCTTGCTATGCTGACCCTCAGAATGGCCTTCAACTCATGATCCTCCTACCTCAGCCTCCTAATAGCTAGAACTACAGTTATGCACCACCATGCCCAGCCCTAGGCAGCTACTTTAAATGGGCAATACAACTGCCTCAGCCCTCAGAGTAGCTGGGATTACAGATATGTGCTATCATACCCAGTTTAAAAAGGGAATCTGGGTGTGGTGGTGTACACCTATGGCAATGCTGCTGCCTCACAGCCTCCTGAGAGTGCTAGCATTATAGGTATGCACCGCTATGCCCCACTTGAAAGCTTTCTTTTTAAGAGCAAAAATAAAACAAGGGTGTCTATTTTCACCTGCTTTTCCCACCCACCCCTTACCACCAATAGCTGGAATGGAACTCAGGAGCTTAGTTAAATCTCACCCAATTGCTCTCACTAGGAATTGCAGTTCAATGTTAAAAAGCACTGAGCTACATGGAGGGATATATGTCTGAAATTCCAACTATTTGGAAGGCTGAGTCAGGAAGATCACACACTCAAGGCCAGCCTGGGCTACTTAGTGAAGCCCTGTCTCAAAATAAATAAAAATAAACTTAGGCATAAGAGTACACATTGTAATTCCAGCACTGTGGGAAGCTGAATCAAAAGTCTGAGTCCATCCTGGAAAATTTAGCAACTTAATGAGACCTCGTCTGAAAAGAAAAAGGGCTGAGGATGTAACTCAGTGCAAAGGCCCTGGGGTTTGTCCCCAGTACATATAAATAAAGAAATGTTTAAAGGGCTGGGACTGTAGTTTAGTGGTTGAGTATCCCTAGGTTCAATTCTCAATGCTTCGAAATTAAATAAATAAATAAGTAAACAAACAACAAGAAGACAAAATACTTGTATACTTAAAACTGTTAAACACTGGTAAAACAAAAGACAAATAAAAAGACAAACTATGTTCATGGATTGCAAGCTTTAATATTGTTAAGATGTCAATATTACCCCAAAAGTGGTCTTCAGATTCAAAGCCAACCTTATGAAATCCCAACAATGTTTTTGTAGAAATAGGACAATCCATCTGAAAATTCATGTGGAATCTTGGGGGACATCAAATAGAAGAATAAAGTTGTAATT